TTGTTCCTGGTTTTACCTGTTCAGACGTGTCACACACCTGTGTGTGGGGGTGGAGGGGGGGCAGGTGTGGGGGGCCCCACCCTGCTTTCAAACCTTCACACTGAGCTGACAGTTGTTCAGCAGAGCCGTTGGTGTGGGAGCGTTCTGAAACACCAGTGTTTCATACAGGACCGGGCTCCTTCTGCTGCTGGTGACCTCCTCTGCTCCTCTGCTCCTCTTCTCCTCTGCTCCTCTGCTCCTCTGCTCCTCTTCTCCTCTGCTCCTCTTCTCTGCTCCTCTGCTCCTCTTCTCTGCTCCTCTGCCACGTCAAACTGACTCCTGGCTGCTGGAGCCTTGTGGACTGTGGTCACTCGGGTTAAATCTGCAGCTCAGATGTGATCAGGTCTGAGGAGACGCTCGGTGTGTGTGTGTGTGTCTGCTGAGGGGGGGTCACCTTGTCCAGCTGGAGGATGAGTGGATTTCTCTACCGGGGAAGGTAAGACCGAGTCCTGACTGTGGTTCCTTTGTTCCGTGTGGAACCTCTGAGAACGTGGATAAACAAGGTGCAGGTCTCTGTGACCAACAGGAGACCTTTGTGCCTCCGTTACGTAATCAGGTGGTCAGAAACCGCTGGCTCAGAGGCTTCAGGGCAAACAGCCGAACTCTTTCTGCTCACGTTGACTTTGTAAGCTCTTCGGTCGTTCAGGAGGCACGGGGATCAGCCGCTCCGAGGAACCAATCTGCAGCGTTTAGGATTTGTCTGTGAGTCAGAGTTCACGTCCAACTGCAAACATTCGGCTCGTTCAGGAGATGGGTGCCGTGACTTTGAGCTTTTTTTACTTTAATACTTTTAGAAATGTATTCAGCTCTCTTCAGCTCCTTCAGAAACTTTCCTCTGTTTCAGCTACTGTTTGATCTTATGCTACATTTAGCTTTAAGTGACAGTTTTTCTACTTTTAGCTTTTAGCTAGTGTTTTGCTACTTTCAGTTTTCAGATACCATGCTAATATTTTTAGCTAGCTGCTTACTAATTTTAGCTTCTTTTTTTAGTTAGCACTTTGCTACCTTTATCTTGTGAATATTATATTCCTACTTTTATCTAGCCTTCTGCTACTTTAAGCTTTTATTTAGCTAGTCCTTTACTACTTTTAGCTAAATGTCCTTTAGCTAATTTTAGTTAAATTTAAGTTACATTTAAATAATTTTATTTTGTTTAATTTGTATTTGTATTCAGCTTCTTTTAGCATGTATTTAGTTAGTGCTTTGCTACTTTTTTGACTATATTGCTACATTTAATTAGCCTTTTGCTCATTTAGTGTTTACCCATTTTACTACTTTTAATTTGTAGCTAGTATTCTGCCTCATTTAGCTTCTATTTAGCTAAGCCTTTGCTACTTTTAACGTTAAGCTAATGTATTCCTCCTTTTAGTACTTTTTGCTGTCTTCTACCTTTCTGTTATTTTTTTATTTTTATCTAACGTCCTTTTGCTACATTTCAATTCTAGTTAGCACTTTGGCACTTTTGGGTTTAAGCTACAGTTTTGCTGCTTTTATAGCCCTTTGCTATTTTATTTTAGCTTTTATTTAGCTAGCACTTCACCACTTCTAACTTTAAGCTACTGGAATTCTCCTTTTTTCTATTGTTGTGCTACTTCCGCGTTAACCTAGCGTTCGGCTTCCTTTAGCTATGTTTAGCTAGGATTTTACTAACTTTAGCATTTAGCTTACCCTTTGCTTTGCCCAGCTTTACCATTCCAGGGCCTCTTTATTACCCAGCATGCTTTTCTTTTGTTTCTTTTTCCATCATGGTCATCACATCCAAAATATTTATAGTGTTTTTAGGATTTTGTAGTTTTTTTGTAGTATTTATATTTGCAGTATTTACAATATTTGCAGTATTTATAATATTTGTTGTATTATTTATATTTGCTGTATTTATATTTGTCATATTTATAGTATTTATAGTATTTTGTAGTATTTGTAATATTTATAGTTTTCTTAGTATTTAATATTTGTAATATTTATAGTATTTATGTTTTTTTAGTATTTAGTATTTGTAGTATTTATAGTAATTGTAGCATTTGTAGTATTTATAGAAGTATTCTAGTATTCTATAGGAGAAAAGACAAAAAACATGTTAAGATAGAAATAATTACAAACAGGTAGAGGAAGTAAAGACAGTAGCAGAGAGGACATGTGGTCAGTTTGTCCTCTAGTAGTCTAAGTCTATAGCAGCGTAACAAGCTGACCCTAACTATAGGATTTATCAAAAAGGAAAGTCTTAAACTGGACAATGTGTCAGCCTCATGGACAGAAAGTGGAAGTTGGTTCCACAAGAGAGGAGCCTGAGAACTGAAAGATCTTCCTCCATTCTGCTGCTGGAAACTCTAGGAACCACAAGTAAACCTGCAGTCTGAGAGCGAAGTGCTCTGTTAGGAAAATATGGAACAATAAGATCTGTAATATAAGATGGAGCTAGGTTGTTGAGAGCTTTGTAGGTTAGAAGTAAGATTTTGAATTCTATTCTGGATTTGACAGGGAGCCAATGGAGAGAAACTCAAACTGGAGAGAGATGATCTCTCCCAGTAACTCCAGTTAAGACTCTGGCAGCAGCATGTTGGATCAACTGAAGACGTTTTAAAGAAGTATTTGGACACCCAGATAATAAACCATTGCAATAGTCCAGTCTAGACGTGACAAATGCATGGACCAGTTTTTCTGCATCATCTTTAGATCAGATGTTTCTAATGTTAGTGATATTACGCAGGTGGAAGAAGGAGGTTCTAGTAACGTTTTTAATGTGGGGGATAAAAGACATGTCCTGATCAAAAATAACACCAAGATTTTTAACATTAGAGCTGGAGGACAGATTAATGTCATCTAAGGAGGGAGAAAGACTGAAACATTCATTCCTAAGGTGCTCAGGTCCAAAAACCACAACCTCAGTCTTGTCTGTTCAACAGGAGAAAATTAAGGTTCATCCAGGTTTTTATGTCTTTAAGACATGCTTGTAGTCTAAGTAGCTGATTGGATTCATTGGGTTTAATGGACAAATATAATTTTGTGTCATCAGCATAACAATGAACATTTATCCCATGCTGTTTAATAACTTTACCTAATGGAAGCATATATAAAGTAAAGAGTATTGGCCCAAGCACTGAACCTTGAGGAACTCCATGACTAACTTTGGTGTATGAAGATTTATTATTTACATTTACAAACTGGAGTCTATCATATAAATATGATTTAAACCATTTTAGAGTTGTTCCTGTAATCCCAACATCATATTCAAGCCTCTGATGTAAAATATTGTGATCAACTGTATCAAATGCAGCACTGAGGTCTAACAGGACCAGTATAGACACAAGTCCATTGTCTGAGGCCATGAGAATATCATTAGTGACTTTTACTAGTGCTGTTTCTGTGCTATGATGAGCTCTAAACCCTGACTGAAACTCTTCAAACAGATTATTTCTTTGCAGATGATCACACAACTGACCAGCAACTATTTTCTCTAGAAAATTTGCGATGAAAGTTAGATTAGATGTAGGTCTATAGTTGGCCAGGATTCCTGAGTCAAGATTATGTTTCTTAAGTAAAGGTTTAATTACAGCAATCTTAAAGCTCTGTGGTGGTTAACCGTTTATTAGAGACAAATTAAGCAGATCCAAGACGTGGTTATTAATTAAGGGAAATACCTCTTTAAACAGTCTGGTTGGAATGGGATCTAACAGTCATGTGGATGGTTTGGATTAAGATATTATTTTTGACAATTCAGAGCTCAACAGGACAAAAACTGTCCAAACATAAATTAGGTTCTAGTGACAGTTATTATTTGTAGAATTTGTAGTATTTGTAGAAGTACTTGTAGTATCTATAGTATTTGCAGTATTTGTAGAAGTATTTAAACATTCTGCTCCTTCTCTTTTTGTTTTGTTTATTGTTTATTTTTTCTTTGTTTATTACTTTTTCAACTCTTGTTCAGATTTAGTTTCTGAACTCAGGAGTTTTTATTTATTAGTAATTAATTGTCACCACATCAGACCCCCCCCCCCCCCCCCCAGCTGTCCAAGACAGTAAGGGGGTCACACAGGTTCAAACTGGATCACATGGATCTGGATCGACCGGTCTCTTTCATTCTTTCAACTCCAGTCCTACAGTTAGTTTGTCCTCGGCATCAGAAACAGGAAGTGATCGCTCTTTCCCAGAATTCCTTGCAGCTGCACCCTCCAGTGTGATGCTGGTCCGGTACCCCCCCCCCCCCCCATGTGCAGCAGGATGTGTCAGGTGTTGAAACAGAACCTGCGGTCAGCAGAGACTCAGGACTGTGTCAGGGAGCTGTGTGTGTGTGTGCCTGTGTGTGTGTGTGTGTGTGTGTGTGTGTGCCTGTGTGTGCCTGTGTGTGCGTGTGTGTGTGTGTGTGTGTGTGTGTGTGTGTGTGTGTGTGCCTGTGTGTGTGTGTGTGTCTCTGAGTGATGTCTGCGTGACCTGAAGCATGCGCTGACTCACTTTGTTTCCATCTTCATCATCATCCTCATCCTCTGTGTCACCAGAGGAGCCGTCGTTTTAGGAGAACCGGACCTTAAATCTGACAGAGCTCGATGAGTTCAAGGACCAGTGTTTGGACACTTTGATTGACAGCTGTTTGTTTGTTTGTTTGTTGTTTTCAGGCACTGTGGAGACAAACGAGCCGGGCTGAAGAGCACTGGACCCACGATGGGTACGTTCCTCCAGAAACTGTTTGAGTTGCAGTGATTCTTGCTTTGTTTTGATGTGGAGCGCTTTGGTCGGCTCCTTCTCTGTGGTGGCTGTGAGCTAAAAACAGCTAAAATCAAGTTTTAGCTGTTTTTGTGTTGGACTGTTTCAGTTTTATCTCTTATGTTCTGTATCTCTCTGAGTCCTCGAGGCTCACTCAGACTAACCTGTAGAGGGTCGAATGAACGTTAGCTCGTGTCGCACAAACAGCTGATCACAGATGAGCCTCCCCCTCTGATTTGTGTGCTCTTTGTTTGTTTATTTTTTGATTGTTTGTTTGTGTTGCAGCCCCCCCCCCCCCGTAACGTGTGCATCATCTTTACCTGCTGTTGTAATACATTTAGCTTTTAGCTGCTGTTTGATACAATTAGCTTTTAGCTGTTGTTCGATACGTTTAGCTGCTGTTTTGATAAATGTAACTACTGTTTTGATACATTTAGCTTTTAGCTGCTGTTTGAAACATTTAGCTGCTGATTTAATATAATTTAGCCATTGAACCAGAAACGTTTAGATTTTAGCCACAAACAAATAAACGATGATTGTTAGGCATGAGGTTATTCTCATCAGATTCTGTGTTTTAGTTTATGAAATTAACAAATTCAATCCCGCCCTTCGGCTCGTTTAGCTCATTCTTATTGTTCTGTGGCTGCAGATTCGTCGTGCGGTGAAACGGACAAAGGCCCGCCGGTCCAGATGCACAGCCTCCGAGAGTTCGAGCAGGTAAGAAAGCTGAAGCTCTGCGACGTCACGAGTGTTAATGTCTCGGCTGATGTTTGCTTTCGGCTGCATGTCGGAGCTGCCCGGGCTTGTTGCCACTAATTGCTACTTTAGACGTGTTTGGGACGATGATGTGGCAACGAGGCACGAGCTGAAACGTTCACCTCTGCAGAGAGGCGCTCCTGCTGCTGTTTTTATCGCCGTGGTAACAGAGGCTGACCTGACCACCAGCTCAGAGTAAAAACAATCTGCTCTGTTCTGGATCAGAACCAGAAGCAGCACTGATGACATCACAACACTGATGACATCACAACACTGACGACGTCATAGTTCGGATGGTTTTGGAGCCTTTTTAATGAAATGTCTCCAGATTGGGCTGCTTGTCACCCGCCGCCTGAAAACTTCTGATGCTTTTATGAAAATCTGCTCTGTGGTTCAGGAGATATTTTGCTAACAGATGAACAAATGAACACAGTCAGAACCGTTCTTTATGAGCTTCTTTGGACTGGGTTCAGTGAACCTGGACTGAAGGTTCTGCCGGGATGTTCCGCCTTCGTGGAGACGTTTAATCAGAGGAAGAGTTCAGACCCGAACCGAGCAGCGGGCTTTTCTCTGGTTCTGCTGTGTTTGCACGGGACCAGTACTGGGTTCTGGGAGTCCTGCCCAGTGCGTTCCGGGTCTGATAGTACTGTGGGGGTGCGGAGGGGTGGGAGGGGCTGGTTCTGATCACATAAAACGGTTCTGGAAAGAGAAGACATGATGTGAAACCAGAACCTCCTGCAGAGAAGCATCAGACTCTGTCGGTTCTGCTCTGGAAACTTCCACCCGGGTCACAGATTTATGGGTCTGTTCATCGCAGAACCCCCCAGAGACCCAAGTTAGACCTGGTGGACTTGGATCACCGCACCTCTGTGGATCAGCTGGTCCAGTAAAAACGGTCCCTCTGGACCTCAGGACGGCACCGTTTGTTTCTGTCTGCCTGTCTTATTAGGAGTGACGGGCGCAGTCTTGTTCATGACTCTCAGCTGCCACCACGCCGAACTTTAGCTCTGTGTTTGTGAAGAATTTTAGCCGTTTAACTGTTTGATGAGGTTGGTTAGCTGCGGCAGCCATCTTGGATCAGGGTAAATGTTGATGTAATTATTACTCTCTGGGAGTTTTGATAAATCTCTGCAGTGGTGCAGGAGATATTTTACTAACAGACAAACACAACACCTCTCTGTCTGGACTTATTGATTCTGTCCTCACCTGATTTCTGTTGTCACTCCGTTTAACTGACGAACTTGTTATGATCGAGCTCGTTAAAGCTCGTTAGGCCCCGCCCTCCTCTGTGACTTCACGTTGGCTTCGGCTCCTTAAAAAGCCGGACTTATTGGATCCAGGTTAACTCTCGAGCTCGTCTTTGGCTCTTTTCTTCACACGTGCGTTCGTTTAAAGCCTCGGCTGCTCAGACGGGGAACGTGACCCTTCCAGAGCGATCAGAGCTGTCAAACATCGCCGCCACTTTTCACACTAACTAAAAAAAGAAAAGACAAACGGCCCAATCAGAGCGCTCTGAGCGGGTCGTTACGAGCTGCGAGCAGAAATTGGAAGCACATGTCTGCCTGAGAGCGTGACATCAAACCCACCACGGAAACGCTCAGATTGATGGAAGGAAGGAGGCGGGCTGCGTTTCAGAGCTCGGGACAAATTAGGGTTGCTAATCTGCTCTAAACGTCTGTCAGAGACAGATTAGTACGAGCAGAGTGGCAGTGATGGACCAGACCGAGCAGAACCAACGGGCTGGCCCGCAGCCGACACCAGGTCCAACTAAAGTGGAACACCACGTCTTTTCTCTGGTGTTTGAAACTGGGTCAAGAGACGGCGAGGGTGCATCTGGATCCGGGCCTGGAGCTGGGTTCTTCTTTCTGGAGTTGGGTTAGCTCATGGCTGGCAGCCAATCAGGACACAGATGATGGAGTCAGGACCAATCAGGACACAGATGATGAAGTCAGGACCAATCAGGACGCAGGACACAGATGATGGAGTCAGGACCAATCAGGACGCAGG